GGGAGCCCCACCTGCAGAGGCCAGGCCTGGGGAATGGGGGGGTCCTGCTGCCGGGAGCCCCACCTGCAGAGGTCTGGACCTGTCCAGCAGGCAGCACCGGGAAGCTGCTGTAGGGCACGCCCTGGGGCCGGGTCAGGAAGGATGAGTTAGTAGGAGCCCGAGCCCAGGGCTGGAAGACTGTATGCTTTGGCTGGAAGAGAAGGCAGTCCAGACCCTGAAGAGCCCAAGCCTGGGGGAAGGGAAGGAGCCCTGGGGATTTTATATCTATCTATAAGGGATTGAACTCAGGCCCTTGCGCTTGCCAGGCAAGCGCTTATTCTACTAAGCTATCTCCCCGGCCCCGGGATTTTGTTTTTAAATCCTGAAGGCAGATGTAATCCCAGAATTTGGGCGGCTGAGGCAGAAAGATTACCTCGGGTTGGAAGCCAGGTCGGCTACACAGTGAGATTCTGTCATTAAAAAAAACTAAAACTAAAACAAACAAAACAAAAGAAAAAAACCACCCAAAATCCTGAAGGTGGCAGGAGTCAGGGATGAGAAAAGCGGCAGAGCGGCAGGTTCTCAATTGCACTTTGTAAAGAACTCTTGGCGGGGGGGGGGGGGGGGTAGGACACTGTTGAGGTCACCCTGTAGGAGGCGAAGGTGACCAACCCTGAGAAACTGAATCAAGAGCTGTTCATGTGCAGCACTTGGTGGGCTGGCCCTGACTGAGGGACAGGACAGGGAGCAGGGTGGGTGGCCTGAGCCGATCTGGAGGGTCCTGGGGTCAGTGGAGAGGCCAGTTGGCAAGATGGAGGAAACTGAGGAACACTGGCCTGTGGGGTGGGACAGCCCCGCAGGGAGAGGCCTACTGCTGCTTGCGGGAGAAGGCAGGCCGGGTCTGTGGGACCCAGGTGCATCCCTGGCTTCTGAGCAAGGCAGGTGTCAGGGTGAGTGGGCAAATGTGGGCGCCCAGTGGCTGTAGAGTGGAGGGGTTTTAATTATAACAGAGAAAAGCCAGGGATGTAGCTGAGTTTAATTCCTGGTACCTGGAAAAAAAAAAAAAAAAAAAGAATGGGAAAGAAGTAGGCCGATTCCAAAAATTTACCACCAAGGCAAGAGGAAAGGGTGGCTGTGAGAGGGAAGATGCAGGGCGGGGGCTGAGGCCATTTGCTTGTTTTAATTTTAAGTGCTTTCGGAAAGATGGGGAAAACTTTCCAGAGCAGAGCCCTCAGGGACTCAGAAGTCTTGCCTGGAGCTGTGGATGACAGGGAACTGAGAGAGAGGCGAGGAGGGCAGGGTGGGGACATAGCGTTTGCGGTCCTAGGGTCCAGAAGGTGGAGCTGGGAGACTACAGGGTTTCCTAGGGTGCGGGGGAGGGCAGGGTGTGATCGGCCTTCAGGAAGGTATAAGAGAGCCTGTAGCTGGAGACGCTGGATAGCCTGAGGGCTTTGCAGAGGTGCCCTGGGCAGGGTTAGGGGGAGCAAGTGAGAAGGGAAATCCGGACCTTCAGGGGGGAACGGGGAAGACAAAGCCAGAACTAGCTGGTCTGGTTCAGCAGTGAGGGGCGCTGGGGCCCTCGGGGCAGCCTGAGAGAGCTCCTCTGTTCACCAAGGTCTCCCACCATCCCCCCATCTCGGCATGCCATGCGGAGTCGGAGAACTTCGTTTTCTGGCAAGGTGAGGGGCAGGTGGGGCGGCCTGGGCAAAGGGCACTGGGGCGGGGCTCCCACTGCAGTCTCATCTCTGCTGTCCCCTCTGATCCCTGCCTCAGACATGAAGTGGAAGAACAAGTTCTGGGGCAAATCCCTGGAGATCGTGCCGGTGGGCACCGTCAACGTGAGCCTGCCCAGGTGGGTGAGGGCCATCACGTCCTTTGGGATGGGTGGCTGAGAGGACAAGATGGAAGTGTTTGTGCACTTTACACCTGTATTTGTAGCAGCTTGGCAAAGAGATGAGAAGCCCGGAACAGCATAGCAGGAAGGGCTCCTCTCATCATCTGACTCAGTCCTTTTGACTTTTTTTTTTTTTTTTTTTTTTGGCAGAAGCGGGAATTGAACTCAGACCCTTGCGCTTGCTTGCCAGGGAAGTGCTTATTCCACTGAGCCATCTCCCCAGCACCCCTTTTTTGACTTTTTTTTTTTTGCGGAACCGGGGATTGAACTCAGACCCTTGCGCTTGCTAGGGAAGAGATTATTCCACTGAGCCATCTCCCCAGCCCCTTTTTTGACTTTTTGACTGTGACTCACAGGCATGTTGAGATTTCAAGCCAACACGTACGTGTGCACATGCACACACACACGATTGAAATGATGTCACAACTAATGACTCATAAACCATCAAATAGAGAGCTGCGCACGTTGGTGCACACTTGTGATCCCAGCACTGGGGAGGCTGACTCAGGAGGATCACCACAAGTTTGAGACCAACCTGAACTGCACAGAGTTCAAGGCCAGCCTGGAATACATATCGAGACCCTGTCTCCAAGAACAGCCAGACCACCCTTCCTACTAGAGCTGTCGCTGGGACACTTGGGCTCCCCTACAGCTATGACCCCTTCCAAACTCCAAGCCAACTCAGTCACCACATGCTCCCAACCTGTACTCTGACTCTCTCAGGTTTGGGGACCACTTTGAATGGAACAAGGTGACATCCTGCATTCACAACATCCTCAGTGGCCAGCGCTGGATAGAGCACTACGGGGAGGTGCTGATCCGAAACACACAGGACAGCTCCTGCCACTGCAAGATCACCTTCTGCAAGGTGAGTACCCCTGCCTTGTATCCCACCCCAGCAGCCGCTGCCCTTGGGGCCACCCTGGTGGGGGGCAGAGACCCTCACTGAGGCCAACCTGCCCACCTTAGGCCAAGTACTGGAGCTCCACTGTGCACGAGGTGCAGGGCGCCGTGCTGAGTCGCAGCGGCCGCGTGCTCCACCGCCTGTTTGGCAAGTGGCACGAGGGCCTGTACCGGGGCCTTCCGCCAGGTGGCCAGTGCATCTGGAAACCCAGTAAGCAGGGTGGCCGGGTGGCCCGGGCAGGGCGCAGCCTCCGTGGCAGCCCACCAGCCCCAGCACCTCACCTCCCCCAGACTCAATGCCCCCAGACCACGAGCGCAACTTCGGCTTCACCCAGTTTGCCTTGGAGCTGAACGAGCTGACAGCCGAGCTGAAGCGGACGCTGCCATCCACTGACACGCGGCTGAGGCCAGACCAGAGGTCAGCACAGCGGGCGGGCAGGCCGCAGAAGGAAGGGCCCCAGCGCCGCGGCGTCTGTATGGGGCAGCTCCCTGACTGCGGCCGGGGTCGCCTGGCTCAGGTACCTGGAGGAGGGCAACGTCCAGGCTGCGGAGGCTCAGAAGCGGAGGATCGAGCAGTTGCAGCGCGACAGGCGGCGGGTGATGGAGGAGAACAACATCGTGCACCAGGCGCGCTTCTTCAGGTGCCCGCCCTGCCCCTGCTGTACGCGGGAGGGCTGGAGGCAGCCGGGGGTCCCTGCCCCCTCACCCACCGCCCTCTTCCCTCAGGCGGCAGACAGACAGCAGCGGCAAGGAGTGGTGGGTGACCAACAACACGTACTGGCGGCTGCGGGCAGAGCCGGGCTACGGGAACCTGGACGGGGCCGTGCTCTGGTAGCCCCGGCCCGGGCCTCACCCTCCTGCCCCCGGCCTGGGCACGGACGCTTGGGTGAGGCCACACTCCCCCTCACCGCCCTGGAGCCCAGGGGCAGCCCCGGTCCAGCCCCGTCCCCTCTGCCAGCCGGAGGGGTGGCGGCTCAGCACGCCCCGCGCCCACGCTGGGGGTGACAGGCGGAATGCGCACTTCCCCAGTCTCGCTGCCCTGACAGCCGGCATGTAAGACCCCTCCCGCTCTGTCACCCTGTCCTGTCCCCCTCGGGGTGCTTGGGGGGCTCCAGGCTCCCAGGATCTGCTCCCGATTCAGTGCCTTCCTAGGACACAGGGGACCCCTCGATGCTCCCCGGCCTCTGTGCCCTGGGCGGTAGCCAGCTGGAGTGAAGAAGAGGAGGCGACTTTTCTTTGCAGCCGGCCCAGCATCTTCTCCCGGGCCCTGGCCAGCGGGCTTTCTCCAGCTCCTCGGTCCTGGGGCACCCACGCCCTTCTCCTGCGGCTTCTAGCTCTTTCGTCCCCTGCCCTCAAGTGGCTCTTTTCAGGAGGAACCCTCTCCAAGAGGCGGGGACATCCATAGACCTGGCTCAGACCCCGGCAAGGGAGCCAGTGCGCATGCGTGCGTGCGTGCGTGCGTGCTGCGTAGGCGCAAGCATGCGTGCCTGCGTGGTGCGGGTGTGCGTGCCTTGCCCTGCTTGCAGGCAGGCGGGAGTCCTCCGTAGCCCGGGTGCCACTGCGGCAGGGTGACTACCATGTTTGCTCATTTTCTAAATTTGCCTCTCAGATGAATTGCTGTGACATTCCAAGCTCCAATAAAAGAGTTTGACCTGTGACTATTCGTTGAAAACCATGTACTCAAGCTCTATGCAGAGACCATAGCCGCCACTGTGGCTTGAATTGTGTCCCCAACAAATGTGTCCCCAGTGCTTGGGAAGGTTGGGCTTGTTTAGAAATGGCCTTTGTGGACATAATGAAGCTAAACTGAGGTCATATGAGATTAGGGTCGGCTCCTGTAGTGATGGATGTCTTTATGAGAAGAGGGAAAGCTGCGCGCGCGCACACACGCACACGCACACGCAGAGAAGACCATGGGAGCCGGGCGAGGTGGCTCACACCTGTCATCCCAGCACTCTGGAGGGTGAGGCAGGAGGATCGCTGCACTTTCAAAGCTAGCCTGAACCTTGTCCCAAACAAACCAAAAGAGGACCAAACACAGAGGTAGGGTTCATGGGCTTGTGGCAGAGGTTGGGGTGAGGCATAGAAAGAACGCCACAGGTGCTGCTGATACCTTGTTGTCAACCCCAGCACATTTCTCTGGTTTTAGGTCACCAACGAGTGGCACTTAGTTATGGCAACCATATGGGGCAAACGCAGCCTCCCACCCACCACTGCCGCTCCCCAAGTTTCGCCTTCCTGTCCCTTTTTCCTGAGTTTCCCCGCTCAGCTCTTGTCTGCACAGCATCTGGCTGAGGCTGGGCCTCGCCTGTGTCCCTTCTGTCACTATCCCTTCCACCCTTGTGTTGGCTCTCATGCCCTCTCACCTTTTGCTTTAGATACTTTGATTTCTCCCTGGGCTTCTTGGGTGTCTTAAGAGTGGGTGGAACAGGCTGCTTGGAGTTCATGGAGAGCCTCCTGCCCCACCTCCGGAGGGCTTGGATGGCAGACATTCCCCACCATTCCCCACAAGTGCTTTCGAAGCCAGCGTGCTGAGCCACTGCCCTATGCCCACTTCACAGAGCCCCTGACCAACCAGGGGCTGCATTCAACTTGCGCATACTTGAATAACTGGATCAAGACAGACCTGATCTCAAAGTCATCCTCCTGAGCCAGCCTGGAGCACACCAGCGTGACAAGCTGAGCCTGCCTCCCCTGGCTGAGCAAAGGACGGAGCTTGGAACCTGGAAGCAGGTGGAGTGTTGGGGTCCAGGAAGGGGACAGAGAGGAGAGGCACGAGGTGCCACTTCATCTGCCCTGGATCTTCCAACCTCGTGCTACTCCACCCAGAGATAATACATTGAACTGCAAAGGACCCAAAAGGTTAGAAATACTTATTCTGATTCTGTGTATGGGTCTGTATGTTTTGTTTGTTTATTTTATTTTAAAAAAAAATTTATTTGTGTGTGTGTGTGTGTGTGTGTGTGGCCAGCTCAGCCCACCAGGGGGCGGGGCTGGCTGGCATGTGGATCTGGGCATTGAACCGCAGTCCCTGTGCTTTGCGAAGCTTGTTCTAAGTAGGTGCTTTAGACCACTGAGCCATCTCACCAGCCCCTGTTTCTTTATTTTTTGAGACAGTGTTGCACTGTGTAGCCTAGGCTAGCCTTGAACTTGCAGAGATCCTCCTGCCTCAGCCTCTTGAATGCTGGGATAACCAGTGTGCGCCACCTCACCTGCCTCTGGGCTGGGCTTGCTCCTCCTGTGGCTTGTTCCTGGGACAGATACTTAACCTGGTACCCCGCCCTATAGGTGTTTGGGAATGGGTCTCCTTTGACAACCCCTCCCCCCACTGCTCATTGAGACCCTGCTGCCTGGGGCCATGAGACATATTTCCCTCTCCTGCCTCTGCATCCCCATCTTTTCTTCTCTGTCCCCCGAAAGTGAGAGCACCAGCAGGGATCCCCAGCAAGCTGCTGAATGAGTCGGGGCGCTGGGCAAGGTGGGCCCCCTGATCGGAGAACGTGGCCTTGAGCTTGAGGGATCTAGGATGCTTCCCGTGTCTCCCTAACATGGGTTGTTATTCCGTGCAAAGAAAGTCTCTGGGCTCTTGAACATGTGTCAGTCCCCAACGACGGAGACTGCCAAGCCCATGTCTAGGGCACTGTCCCCCGCGAGGCTGTAACCCCGGTCAGGCAGGCCTCCGAGCTCCTCCTGTGTGTGGGGAGGGGGCTGGAATGAAAGGGCTGGGCCCAGGCCCAAAGGTGGGGGGAGCCGGGAGGATGCGGAGGGGGAGAAATGGGAAGGGCAGGCGGGGAGAGCGGAGCCACCCCTGACAGCTGCCTCCCCATGTTTCTCGCATGCGTGCGGTTCTCCGGGCATCCGTCAGGGGGCGCGCGAGCTCTAGAAAGGACCTGTTCCTTCTCCCCAACCCCACCTGGCAGGTGGCTGCTCCCCACCCGTCCCGGAGCACGTGGGTGCGGTGTGGCCCAGGTCTGCAGTGACAGATGGCGGCGCAGTCAGTTTTCCCAGCCGTGATTCCTGCCAATTTCCAGCCACTCACCACAGCCCCTCCCGACACAGCACTCCCGACCTGGACACCCTGTTCTGGGATGCGGGCGTTCCCAACCTCTCCCAGACACCGCACGAGGGTGGTCGGCAACAGACCCCCATCCAGGACAGCCGGCCTAAACCTGGCCCCCTGGGGCTGTCAGAAGAGGACTTTTCCCTCTTACTTCTGCCTCCCAGAGCCCACCCCACACTGGAGTAGGGGCCCCTAAAATAATCATAATGAGGGCCGGGGAGATGGCTCAGTAGAATAAGCGCTTCCCTGGCAAGCACAAGGGCCTGAGTTCAATCTCTGGTTCTGCAAAAAATAAAATAAATAAATAAATGAATAAATCAATCATACTGATTAGAAGGCTACGAAGCTTCTCCCCAAAAGGGGCTTATGGAGTTGGCCAAGAGGCTGCGGGACTCAGTCTGGACTCAGAGGCTGTGGGACTCAGGAACCCCACTGCCTCAGCCTCCGGGTGCTAGGATTGCAGGGCGCACTACCACACCTGGCCTCATTTCTTTATTTTTTAAAAAAGTTCCAAACCAGGTATAAGTCTGCATAGCTACAGCCTCAGCACTCTCGGAGGATGAGTCAGGGGCCGGGAGTTTGATCCCCGGGCCTGCTGTGCCAGCCCTGCCCCTGGGGTGTGCTGAGACGGCGACTGAGACTGGGCATTGTGACGTGTGCCTATAATCCCAGCACTCAGGAGGCTATAAACAGGCAGATCATTGAGTCCAATCTAGTAGCAAGACCCTGAATACCCTGTAGACCCGTCCCTAAAATACAAAATAAATAAATAAATAAATAAATAAAAGAAGAGGAAGAGGAAGACGAACAATCAACGACATCAACAAACCATGCTGGGGCTGTAGATCAGCGTGAAGGCATTGGGTTTGATCCCCAGTACCACATGCTGTGCTGCCCCGGGACCCCAGGTAAACCATGTGGGCCCTGAAACCGGGGGTAGCGGCACACACCTGTAATCCCGGCACTGGGGAGGCATTGGGTTCAATCCCAGTACAACAAAAAGAACAAATTTCTGGAAGATTCATATCGGTGTTTTAGGTTTAGGTTAAGTTATAATTAAGTCAGTGACTTTGCCCTGATAAAGCAGATTGTGTGGCCCCCTGGGGAGGCGGAAACTGTGCCCCTCGGGCTGTCACTTCTGAGGTGTGAACCCTGCTCAGAGAGGAGCGCTTAGTACTCATCCAATCAGAGGTGGCTCTCCCTGGAATTTTGAGAGGAAATGAACGAACGAACAGAAAGGAAGGCACCTAAGACAGAGTGTCCTCGGCCACCGCTGTCCACCCGGTCGCAGGATGGTGTCCTGCCTCAGGGGCTGGCCGTGGCTCGCCTTTTCTCCTCGGACCCTGTCTTTGCAAGGGCGACGCGAGCCTTAGATCCCACTCTGGTCTCTGCTGCTGCCCAGCTCGAATGTTAGGTGGCTGTTATTGCTGTTTGAGACAGTCTTACTATGTGACCCTCAGCGACGTCAAGTCAACCATCGTCAGCCCTTGTGGCCTTGGCCTCCGAAAAGGTACCCAGGTTAGGTGAATCAGGCGGCCGCGAACCCAGCCCAGGGCTGCACCGGTTATACTGGGGAGCTGGGGTGCCCTCTTGTGGATGCTTGAGGAATTTCACTCGCTCCTCTGCATCCCCCTAGTTGTCCACCTTAAGACCCAGGGCGGAAGGTGGGGGTGAGGGTAGGGGTGTTCTTTGTTAAGGATATCAAAGGTTCTAGGGTCCCAAGATGGACGTTTGTCACACAGAGCACTCGCAGCAGCTGTTCTGTGCTTTATGCTTTATGTATGGGTTTGTCTTTTTTGAGACAGGATTTCACTTTGCAGTTCAGGCTGGTCTTAAACTCACTTTGTAGCCTTGTTGGGCCTTTGACTTGCAGCGATCCTCCTGCTTCAGCCTCCAGAGTGCTGGGGTCACGGGTATGCGCCTCAATGCCCCATCATTCTGGGCTCCATAAATAATTCATCTACTCCTTGAAGCTCCCCTGGGAGGTAAGCATTGTCTTGTCACCCTATTTCGCAGATGAGGAAATTACAGCACAGAGAAGTGAAGCAACCTACCCAAGGCCACACAGC